AGGAAGGAAGGAAGGAAGGAAGGAAGGAAGGAAGGAAGGAAGGAAGGAAGGAAAATAGGAAGGATAAATAAGAAGGAAGGAAAGAAAAAAAGGAAGGAAGGGCCACCCCATCCTTGGAACAGTGGAAGAAAACCAAGGCAACTCCTAGAGATCCAAGCCATACCTTCTGCGGAGAGGATGGGACTTACTGGGGGGACCCCTGCAGCCCCCCAACCAAACCGCGTCCCTCTCATTGGTGCCTTCCGGATTGCTGCAACTTCCTTGAGTGTCTCTGTTGGTCCCCTCCTTCCGTCCAACTTGGTTTCCTCGCCAGCCTTGATGGACGCCTGCCAAGACGCCTTCCCTCCCTCCCTGCCTGCCGGCCAGCCGGGGGAATGAAAAGGGGCCCTGTTGTCGCAGGAGCCACAACCCGAAACCGAGGAAGCAACAAAGAAACACATTGAAAGCTTTCTTCCTCTCCCTCCCACCCCACAAAGACTTCGCAAAATAACAGCAAAATTCTGCCTTTGTGGCGGCAGGTTTAGGGCAGGGCAGAGTGAGATCCAGGCCCAGGCGTGTGTGTGTGTGTGTGTGTGTGTGTGTGTGTGTGTGTGTGTGTTTGTCTTTCCAAAGGCTCTTTCTGGAGGGGGATGTGAGAAGTGGGACAACGTTTCGGAAAGGTGCAAATACCTGTCCCAACATTGTTGACCATAAGGTAAGAAAATATTTTGCACAGGCTGTTCGGAGAGAGAGAGAGAGAGAGAGCTTTCCTCAAAATACAGGTAACCCTCGCCCTACAGCTGCTTTGTTTAGTGACCGTTCAAAGTTACAACAGCATTGGAGGAGGGAGAGCGAAAGAAAGAGGGAAAGAAAGAAAGAGGGAGAGAAAGAAAGGAAAGAAAGGAAAGAAAGAAAGAAAGAAAGAAAGAAAGAAAGAAAGGAATGAAAGAAAGAAGAGCGAAAAGAAGGAAGGAAGGAAAGAAGGAAGGAAGGAAAGAAAGAAAGAAAGAAAGAAGACAAAGAAGAAAGAGAAAGAAAAAAGAAGGGGAAAGAGAGAAAGAGGGAGAGAGAGATCTTTCCTCAAAATACAGGTAACCCTCGACTTACAACTGTTTTGATTAGTGTCTGTTCAGTTACAACGACATTGGGGGGGAAAATGACAGGATTGTTTTTCACTTAGGACCATGGCAGCATTCCCAGCTGGGCAACCAGTTCATACTTATGACGGTCACTGTCTCCCAAGCTGACCTTTTTCAATCTTTTGACAAGCAACGTTAAGGGGGAAGCCAGGACCACTCAACAATCAGGTATCTGACTTAACAACTGCAGTGATTCACTTAGCAACTGGGGCAAGAAAGGTCGTAAAATGGGGCAAAGCTCACTTAAACCCATTTTGAGAAAGAGAGAGAGAAAGAGAAATAGAAAAGAGGAAGAATAAAGGAAGGAGGGAGAAAGAAAGAAACAAGGAAGGAAGGAAAGAAAGAGGGAGAGAAAGAAAGAAGAAAGAAAAAGGAAGGAAGAAGGAAAAAAGGAAGAAGAGAAGCAAAGAAGAAAAGAGAAAGAGAGAAAGAGAAGAGGAAGAAGAATGAAGGAGGGAGAGAGGGAGAAAGAAGGAAGGAAGGAAAGAAAGAGGAGAGAAAGAGAGAGAAAGAAAGAAGAAAAGAAAGAAGGAAAGAAGAAGAGAAAAAAGAGAGACAGAAGAGAAAGAAGAGAAAGAAAAAAGAAGAAAAAAGGACAGAAAAAAAGGAAAGAAAGAAAGAAAGAAAGCTCTTCTGTTGGGAGGGATCAGCTCCATCACCTGAAAGGACACCAGAGTGTGATGGGGTGATTTAAGGACACTGTGGGCGTTTTTGGCTGCTGGAGCTGCAGAAGCAGAGAAAGGCAAAGACTTCAAGCCAAACACAGAGCGCTTTTCTGCCTCTCCTGGCCAACCTTCCCCTGGGCTTAAAAGGGGGAAAAAGGGAAGACCTCATCAAGGGGCTGAGGCTATGCATTTTAATTAAATCTTAAAAGAAGAGGGCAGCCCAAGCCTCCTCTCCTGCCCTCCAAAGCTGGGCCAGTCATCCCTGCAAGGGAACCACTTAACTCCCCGGATGCCAATGGACCCAGTCCGTTGTGTTCTTGGAAACAAAGCAGTGGTGGAATCCAGTTTTTTTTACTGCCAGTTCTGTGGGTGTGGCTTGGCTTGGTGGGCGTGGCAGGGGAAGGTTACTGCAAAATCTCCATTCTCTCCCCACCCCACTGACCTGCTTTCCAGCTCCGTTCTCCTGTGCAGGGCAACCAAACGAGACCCAGCTGATCAACTGGGACTCCGGAGGCGGAGAATAGATGGGGTTGGCGAGGCCAGTCAGAGGCAGGATTTGCCGGTTCTCCGAACTACTCAAAATTTCCACTACTAGTTCTCCAGAACTGGTCAGAACCGACTGAAGACCACCCTCTGAAACAAAGGCTCTGGGCCAACAAGGTGGCCTCCTGGAAGGGAGGATGTAGGGTAGGTCCAGCAGAAGAAACCATTTCTGACCTCTAGGTTTGAACAAGACTTTAAGCTTGCCTATCTTCCCACTTTCGAAACCGCTTTTTCCCAAGCTTTTTATTGCTGTTTTCAACAGCCCAGCATGAAGAGCAGAATTGGAAAGGGAAACTGCTTTTGGACTTCATGCTCAGTGTAGCGGGGAAAAGGAAACTCTTGATTTTGGGTTTGGCTGATTAAATAGGCTGTCATGATAGAAATGGCTATGTTAGATTAGATTAACAGAGTTGGACGGGACCTTGTAGGTCATCTAGTCCAACCCGCCCACCCACTCAAGCAGGAGACCCTACACCTTTAGTATGTACACTATTATGTGAAAAGTAAAAAGCTGAGGTTGGGATATTATTCTGCTGTGCCAAGAGTCAAGAAGTCAACCCTTTTTTTCCTTCTTCCCTTTGCCGTACACATTTTCTTCTTCCCCTTTTCTCCCAGTATTTTCATTTTTCTTTGCATTCCGTATTTTGATAAACGAAGAAAAATATGACCATAAAAAGACTGGATATTGCCAAGAGGAAGGGACTAAGAGGACCCACATTCAACCAAGACTTTCCAATGAAGCTGAAAGGACTCTCTTCATAATTTCAAAGAAAAAAGATGGCTTGATCAATAGAATAGTTGTAGCTCAGGATCGAACTGTGGGGTTCTTGGTGCTCTCTGAGCCTTGGTGGGTTTTCTTCCAGGCGTTTCATCACCAAAAATAGGTGAGATCTTTAGTGCTATCATCACCACCACCACTAACACTGATGAAGTTAGTTTGGTAATGAAACACCTGCAAGAAAGCCCACCAAGTTCAGAGAGTATCAAGGACTCTACAGGTGAGTTCATGTTAATTTTGCATTTGCTAAACTCACAACGGCACAAAAGCTCCGTGGGTCACCATGCAGCCGTCTGGTTCTCTTTTTGGAGGTCTTCCATGCCCTGGGTTATTCTGCACCGCCTGGGCAGCACTGGGTTTATTGTGCTCCACCTGAAAAGATGTTTCTCCACAGACCGACCAGGGAGCAGGCTGTTCTGACCAAGGCTTCCCGAGACTGTAATTAAGCACTCTTTGTTTTCTTTCAACACTGGGAACTATGTGTATTCCCAGCCAGTAATGAGTCCCAAACAATTGCTCGAGATAAGCACCCACCTTTCTCTCCTTTGAGTTGCAGCCAACAACTAAAGTGCCAAATGAATTATAAAAACCAAAGTCCACAGAGCTTCAAGGTTGAATCCGAACAGAGCGAACAACTTTGCTTCCTGCAAAGGTTTCTCCACCTTTGCATTTCCTTTATACCTTATGGGAGGGACACTCCCAGGTGGTCCTGGCCCCATCTCTGCATCAGACGCAGGACCCTCATCTGAATCCTCTCCAGACTCCGACTGGTTCCCGTTCTTCCCCGCTGTTCGATTCCGCTGTCATCTGCACAGGCTGCTGGCAAACCACAATACAGGCTGGGCAGGCCCTGTCCCTTGGAGCCCAGCAGGTGCTCCTTCTACCTGTCCAGGTGAGCATGGAAGAACAAATGTTTTGAAGCCCCCTCCAAAAAAATTACCCTTCCCTCCCCCCCCCCTCCAAGTACAAACGAAGCTTCTTGATTTCACAAATGTTTATTTATGGCAATGCAATTCCCCTTGCTCCAAAAAACGATAAAAATTAAAAAAAAATGCTCTTGACATTGTCAACAGACAGGCCAGCCATGGCTCAGACCGATGTACCCCCCCCTCCCACGCCCATGACAAGCACTTGAAGAGAAGCCCCTGACCAGACCGCCAGTCTTGGCTGCCAGGGCGGAGACCCTTAAACGCTCCATTTTAAAAATGTCCCTTCTGAATGAGCTTCCTTCCCACTCCCCCCACCCCACCCCCCAAAAACAACACAACCCCAAGTTAAATCAATGCCAAAATTGTGCAGATCACCCCACAAATGCCGACGGTTGCAGAGTTCGCCCTCCTGCAGGTGTCTTACGAGCTGAATGTGCTGACACCCCCTTAACCCGCAGGCCAGCGCCACTCCCCTCTGAGTCTCTCTGCAGGTTGAGGGGCTTCTCCCCTCCATCCCTTCCTAGGTCGGGGTGGGGGGGAAGGGCTACTTCCATTGCCAGGATTCAAAAGCAGGACCCATCCACAGAATGCTTCTTTTCCGGGGTGAGTGTGTGTGTGTGTGTTCTGCGACGGTAAGCCAGGGGTGGGGTGAAACCCTCCCAGAGCTGAAGAGCCAAGCCAGCTCTTGGTCTGCCCACCACTCCGAAAGGGAAGGAGCTGGGAAGAGCTGCCTTCTCTGGAAGGGGCCTTGGGGGAAGGGGGGGGGGGCAGGCAGCAGGCCGGAAAGCCAGGCAAAGACAAGAAAGAAGGAAAGGAGGGAGGGAGAGAGAGTGGGGGGGTAGCCAAAGACCACAGTTCCTAGTGGCAGAGCTGCAATGCAGGTGTGGGATAAGATCAAGGCAAATGGCATTTTCTCTGCCGTCGAACGAAGCTGCGCGGGGGAGATAAAAAAAGGGTGGCAGGTTGACGATGCCACTGTCCATGTGGCTGGGTGGAAGTCCCACGCTTCCTTTTCCACGTCTGGGCAAGGCAGGGGGGGCAGGCCTCAGGGCTTCCTCTCCAGGCAGGCTGGGGGAAAAAAAAAACGGGATTTCCAGGCCCGCCGCACCATCTTCCCTTCTCCCCCAACTGTCAGAATAAGCTAAGCGCATGCAACGTAAGGATGACGTCTCTGGGGGTATTATAGAGAATGAAGACATTTGGTCCGGCTACTCCAGGTTGGAGGGAGAATTGGGGGCTGCTACCGCTTTGATTACTCCGAGTGGGGCAAAGCCAAGCCCAGCCGGTGAGGGGAGGGGAAGGTTCATCAGAGTCAGTCCCTGGATTTAAAAAAAAAAATTGGAATTTCCCTCCCTTTTTATCTAGAAAGCCCCTTTCCCATTCTCCAGGAAATGACACAAAGAGGCTGGCTGGCTTTTCCCCTTTGCAAGGGTTACTCACCCCCTTGCATCCAGGAAAGGGTGGGGCGGGGTGGATGGGGAGTGGGACAGACAGCATGCAAAGGCCCCGGGGCTGCGGAGGAGGAAAAGGGGAAAGAATGGGGTTTTTTGTTTTTTTTAAAAAGGTAGAGAAAGAGAAACAGGGCCAGGAAATAAGCATCTTCCGTCCTAAAACTTTTTCCCAGGTCCCGTGCTACTCTTGGCCATCCTTCCAAGGTTTCGGAGTCCGACTGGCACACCAGCCTCCCTTTGTCTCGCCCTGGAACGAGGGCAGCCCCCTCCCTGCCAAAAGAGAGTCAATTTCGCTTGAGAAACACAATAAAAGGGGACTAGGGGAAAAAGGAACATTTAAGTTAAAAACGAAGAGGAGAGCGTGCCCCTTTCCCCCACCGCCGGTTTCCAAAAGAGCCTCCTCTGGTGATCCTGGTCGATTCCCGCCAGGATCACGCAGGCCCCCTTGGGGAGGTTTCTTCCTGCAGTGAGGAGACAGGAGGGGGCAAAAATCAAGGGCATTTTCCTTTTTTTTTTTGTTTCATTAAGCCGAGCTGGCAGCGCCTTTCTGACGAGAAACCGAGCGAGCGTCAGAATGGAGCCCCCCCTCCCGCCCGCCACTGTCTCTCCGGGGCACGGCCAAGGTGCGCCTCTCTTCCCCCAGAGGGGCTGCGATGTCCCCACGTGCGCCACCTCCTCTGCGGGGAGGGGAGGTGATGGCGGAGCAGTTTGCGTTCATGTTGTGTGTGTGTGTGCCCCCGCGCCTGGGTGTTTGGCGCACACACACCCCCGGTGGCTCGGGTTTCATTTGGTGGGTTGCCGCCGCGATTGCGTCGTGTCCAAGGTTAGCGCCTGCGATGTGACGTTCTTGCGTTCCGATGCGGTGCGTCCAGAGACGGGCAGACGGAGCTTCAACCAACCTGGGGATACCCGAGGGGGCTCAGCCCATCTCCTTCCACTGCTTGTAAAACTCCACGACATTTTGGATCTCAATGCTGGCGCTGGCCGCTGCTTGGATTGCGGACTGAGGAGAGGAGAGGAAAGGGTTCCAGTGAGCAGGCAGAGAAGGACCCAGCCTTGTAGCTCGGCTACCTTCAAGGCCCCACAGCTCATCTAGCCCAACCCCTTGCCCTGGGCTGGAATCCACTGCTATTGCTGGCCTACGGAAATTGTTAATCTTCCTAGTTAGAAGGGTGTCAGGAATCCAGCAATCGCCCTCATTAAATCATGATTCTCAAGCCAAATTTCAAAAAACTTCAAAGGATTAATTAGAGGCGACCTACAGGCCCTGCTCTGTGTGAAGCCAACTCTGGCAGACGTAATTTACAGTCCCGTGACCCTGTTTCCCCCCATCCCCCCTGGGTGTGTCATAAATCAGATTCTCCAAATGAGCCCATTCAGACTGGGTGTCATCCTTCACGTTCTCCAATTAAATATATTCACGGCAAAAGCTCTGGTAGTTTAGTTACAATCTTTTAAAGATAACAGTTGGAATGCTGCATTGCTCTTCCACATTTCCTTCCTCACCCCGCCCTTTTTTTTAATGGCAACCACTAAAACAGGCATAGGAATGTTTTATGAGTTGACAAAGGGTGTTATTGCTTTTTAATTTCTTTTATAACTTGGTTTTTTTATTGTATGGGGATTTGATCCCAGTAAACCGCCTGCAGTCACTCAAGAGCGAGCCGGGCAGCTATATAAGTTGTCTTAAATTTTAAATCTTTAAAAATTTTAAATCTTCTTGACTTTCCAACAAGGCATTCGTGGGAAGCGGTAGTGGCAACGGGGAAGACCATCGTTATTTTAAAAAGTTTGTTTTTATTTGTCCTTCATAGAAAGGAAAGTCTAGGGATGGGATGTCAAACACAAGGCCCGCGGGCTGCAGCTGGCCTGTGGCGTGCTTAGATCTGGCCCGTCGGGTTGCCCTGGAAAGAGCAAAGGAGTGCCGGCGGTGCCTCTGCCAGCAGAAATGGGGCCTGGGGGAGGGTGTGTGCGACTTCCCTTGGACTCCATTTTCGCTGGCAGAGGGCTAGCAAAACAAACTAAAAACAAAACAAAAGGAGAAGTTTTTCTTTCCCTTTTGTATTTGAGCATCCAAGAAGAGACAGGAAAGGAGACAGGGGAAGAGGACAGACAAAGAAGGAAAGATGGGAAGAGAGCAAGGAAGCAAAAAGAGGGAAAGAAGAAGAGAAGGAAGAAGAAAAGAGAATGAAGAGGGAAAGAAAAAAGAAGAGGGGAAGGAAGAAGAAAAGAGAAGGAGGGAAGGAAAAAGAAGAGAAGGAAGGAAGGGAGGGAGGGAAGGAAAGGATTATGGGGGGAGGGGTCTGAGGGAAGTCCTACCTTAGCACTTGGCCACCACAGGTGCCCCCCATCAACACGAGTGACATCGACCTGGCCTCGTCCCCGGCCATGCCCCCTACCCCACCAGGTCAAACACAACCCTGATGTAGCCCTCAATGAAGTAAGAGTTGACGCCCCTGGTCTAGGGTTTCCTGCCTGAGCAGGGGGTTGGACTAGAAGACCTCCAAGGTCCCTTCCAACTCTCTGTTATTCTATTCTATGCCAGACACCTACCTGCATGGGAGCAGAAAGTTTGCTGGGGTCCTGGAGTTGGAAGCCGGTGATGACAGTCACCATGCCAGCCGTGTCGTCTTCGCTGCCTCCCTGAGAGGCGGTCAGCTGCTTACAGCTGTCCAAGATCTTATAGAGGTTCCTGGGAAGGGAGGATGAAGGACAAGATGTTGAAACAAGGCAGCAGCAGGAGAGAGAGAGAGAGAGAGAGAGAGAGAGAGAGAGAGAGAGAGAATCTGGTTGGCAAAAGCACACCAGGTACAGGTAGTCTTTCAGTTACGACCCACCATCGAGCCCAACACTTGTGTTGCCAAGTGAGACAACTTGTGAAAGGAGTTTTGCCTTGTTTTATGACTTTTCTTGCCCCAGTTGTTCAGCGAATCATTGCAGCCGTTAAGTTAATTGTTAAGCGAATCTGGCTCTCCCATTGATTTTGCTGGTCAGGAAAGGTCACAAAAAGGGATCAGGTGACCCCCCCTCCCAGGATGGCGCGACCGTTGTAAATACGAATCGGTTGCCAAGTGTCTGAAGTTTGATCGGGGGACCACGGGGAGTCTGCAATGGCCATTAAGTGTGAGAAACAGCCACAAGTCCCTTTTTTCAGTGCCGTTGTAAGTTTCAACAGTCCGAGTTAAGTGCCAGTTGAGCTGTATGCATACATGCGTGCGCTGCCCAATGGCTTGCATGACCCAGTTCCAAACAGGCCACAGCCCCTTAAGGGATTAAGCTCACAGGCTTACCAAGCATCTAAATCTTGTCTCTTCAGCTTATGCCTTTCAAAACTTTTTCCGACTTCTTTCTGACAGCGAATGTACCTGGAGAGAAGAGCACAGGAGAGAAGAAGAATATTACTAACATTCCTAAGTCGTGATGACCCTACTCTAAATATAAAGGTAAAGGTTCCCCTGGCACATCCGCGCTAGTCGTTTCTGGCTCTAGGGGGCAGTGCTCGTCTCCGTGACAAAGCCGAAGAGCCAGCACTGTCCGAAGACGTCTCTATGGTCATGTGGCTGGCAGGACTCAACACCTTCAAAGACATATGGAACGCTGTGACCTTCCCATCAAAGGGGTCCCTATTTTTCTACTTGCATTTTTTTAATGTCCTTTTGAACCGCGAGGTTGGCAGAAGCTGGGACAAGGAACGGGAGCTCACTCCGTGACGTGGCGCTAGGGATTTGAACAGCCGAATGGCCGACCTTTCTGATCAACAAGCTCAGCATCTTTAACTCCTGAGCTACCGCGTCCCCTCACTCTAAACATAAGGACAACGTCGCCACAACAGATGCAGCAAACGACTTTAGAATAGAGTTTCAGCCTCTAGGAGAAATATCAGCCCAAAAGGGATGGTTTTGGTACACATTTTTAAAAATTAACAGTAATAAGGCTGCTTCCAGCTTTTGGAATGTGGCTTGTCTTTCCCCTCCCCAAAAAACTAATTCCTATGGCCATTCTCCCTGGGTATAGGTAGTCCTTGTCTTCGACCAAAAATGAGTCCAATATTTCTGTTGCTAAGCGAGACAGTTAAGTGCACATTGTCCCATTTTATGACCTTTCTTGCCATAGTTAAGTGAATCACTGCAGTTGTTAAGTGAACTCATTGACTGTTCATCAGAAGTTGCAAACGTGACTCCGGGACACAGTAACTGTCGTATATATGAGTCTGTTTCCAAGCATCTGAATTTTGATCACACAACCAAGGGGAGGCGGCAATGGTTGTGTGGAAAATGGTCGCAAGTCGCTTTTTTCAGTGTTGTTGTTGTAACTTTGAAGGGTCACTAAATGAACCGTTGTAAGTTGAGGACTCCCTGTAGTTTGAATAGTTACCCCTTAGCAAAAAACCACCTTCTGATCAATGAAAAAAAATAACAAGCAGCTTGTTTTACATTTTGTCTTTGAGTTTTCTTCTATAGGAATGTAGTTCATCCAAAATAGCAATAGCACTTAGACTTATATGCCACTTCACAGACAAGGAAGAAAGGGAGGGAGGGAGGGAGGGGGGATAGGGAAGGGGAAGGAAAGGAAAGGAAAGGAGGGGAGGGAAGGGAAGGGGAAGGAGGGAAGGGAAGAAGGAAGAGAGAGAGAGAGAAAGAAAGGAAGGAAGGAAGGAAGGAAGGAAGGAAGGAAGGAAGGAAGGAAGGAAGGAAGGAAGGAAAGAAAGAAAGAAAGAAAGAAAGAAAGAAAGAAAGAAAGAAAGAAAAGGGAAGGAAGGAATAATAATAGCACTTAGACATATATTCAGCTTCACAGTGAAGGAAGGAAGGAAGGAAGGAAGGAAGGAAGGAAGGGGAAGGAAAGGAAGGGAAGGGAAGGAAGGAAGAATAGCAATAGCCCTTAGACTTATATACCACTTCACAGTGTCTCTAAGTGGTGTACAGAGTCAGCTTCTTGCCCCCAACAATCTTGGTCCTCATCTTACTGACCTCGGAAGGACGGAAGGCTGAGTCAACCTTGAGCCTGGTGAGATTTGAACTGCCAAGTTGCAGTCAGCTGGCAGTCAGCAGAAGGAGCCTGCAATACTGCACTCTAACCACTGTGCCACAGAAGCTCTTAAAATGTTTAAGTGAGACTGTAATTTGACATCTGGAATGATCCCACCCTCCGATGAATATATGGAGGAAAAAGCAGGACAAGGGACAGGACAACTTACCTGTTTCCCTTTTTAAATTCTGCTTCTAAGTATCGGATGCTGTCCCGAGCTCCTGCATTCTCCTTCTTCAGGAAATCTAAGCCATCAATGACTAAAACAAGAGCCAAACATTCTTGTTATTTCCCCTTTAACAGCAGTAGGTCGTAGAGCAGGCAGCCCACTTCCCCCCCGCAACCTCCAGAGTCCCAAGGGGACTCGGAAATCTTCCTAAAGCCACATCTCCTCTGGCCCAACATCTCCATATGCCTTCCTTCCTCTTCCCTTCCAGGCAGGCATGATGAGGTACTGTGCTGACCTAGGTGTCAACTAAAAAATACTTATTTGGTCTTTTTAGTTGGCAGCAAAATGGGAGTGGGGGAAAGCAGTGCATTCCTTAAATGCTTCAGATAACCGCTTTGGCAACCAAAGCTGTTGGCGTGCAAGTTTATTACTGGAGAGCTTGGTTGATGACTCTGGGCTATGGTTGTGTCTAATTGGAGAATATATATCCAAGGGGGTGGGGGGAAGACTAGGGTCAAGGGGGAAATGAATGATGTGTCAGAGTCGGCTGCAACCAGGAAACGCCGACATGTCAACTCCTAATAAATCAATCTTTTTTACTCTGAGGGATGTGGCTAGAGACTTATGATCTGAATGGGGGAGTCCTGACACTAGGCTTCCTTAGAAATCATAGAACACAATCTTAATCCCCGACAAAACCTCTTTTATTTCCATGGCTGTGAATTATGTTCATTCACAGCCTGCAAGGCTTCACAAACAGTCTTTCAGGGGAATGTTTAGACACCTACCTTACTGCACTTGGAATGCGGCCAGAGAACTAATTGCCAGATGCGGGGCAAGGCCAAATTGGATACAAACAGAACTTTTCAAAGCATGAACTGACCAGACGAACTAATTGCTTCCTGCAAAAGCTCACATCCCGTCCGCTCCTCTTTTATGTCCCAGGAGAGGGGCTAGTCATCTCCGAGGTGTGGCCTTACTCCTGAGTTGACCCTGCTTCCTCAATTGTTCTTGTCTTCTGGTAGCCCTGTGCATGCGCAGGCTGGGAAGTGGTTCCAGAAGCTCCCTCGCCTCACTGCTGTCTGAGTCTGAAGGCAGCTGATGACTGCCAGTCTGCCCTGGCCCGGCTCTGATGCAGAGCCCTCTCCAGGCCTTCCTCAGCCTCCAGGCCCGGCCCAGGTTCCTCCTCAACCTCCTCACTACTGTCTGACTCTGCTGCCATCTTCATCAGCTGCCAGTGGGCCACAACAGGTACAGAGAAACTTCCCTTGGCCAAATCTACTAGGACTGCGCCGGAAGGGATTCCTTCTGCTTCAGCTCTACCTGCATTCTGCTTACCTGTCCGTGGGATGATGACAATGAACCTCCCGCTGGCGGCCAGTTGCCTGATGGGGCTGAGGTGCTGGCAGAGGGCCTGGGTGTCCGGGACCAGGTAAGGGGACATCACACACTGAGCCTTGGGCTGCTGGAGACTGCCTTCCAGCTGGGACACCTCCAGCTGTTTGGGGGAAGGCGGGGAAAAAATGGAAACAAGAATCTTTAGAGAAGAAGCTTGGAGGAGTGGCAAGTTGTCTCCTTGCAACTCAGTAGATGAAAAGCAGCGATGAAGGCATAAAGTTATTTCATGCAAACATACACAACTCGCCAGCTATTTAGTTGGGAGGACCACAATTCCTCACCGGTGGTGGTATGCTACCGGTTCGGCCTGGTTCAGTAGTAAAAATCACTACCTGTTCCTCTGATCAGCTGAGAGGAGAAAAAAAAAACCTCCCACAATCAGCTGAGAGGATACAAGTCTGAAAAGCGCATGGGAGGGTCACTCCTAGCTTTTCCTTTCTTCATCCTCTCAGCTGATTGGGTTGTTAAGGGCGCACGCGCGCATGTGCGATCACCCACTGAACTGGTAGCGACTAAGGTAGGATCCCACTACTGTTCCTCACTCAGAATTAATATAGTAAATACCGGCATTTTGCGATGAATGGAAACTGGAATATTGCAATATTTGATTCAGGGCAAAGAGTGTCATGCCCCTGTTGGAGTCTGAAACCGAAGAGGAAGATGAACAGCTGACAGGGAGTGGGCGTGTGGCTCCGTTGGCTGTGGAGGAAACTGGGGAAGGGCAAAGTCTGGCTGGGCAGAGCAAGAGAGGTGTAGAACAAGGGAGGAGGAGTTCAGAAGAAGACCCAGGCCCACCCCCTCTTCATCCTAGGGCACGCAGGGAGGAACGGAGAAGAGAGCAACGTGGGTTGCGTGGCTTATGGGGGAGGAAAGGGCCCTGATTCCCTTCATTAGCTACAGCTGGGAAGAGAGTTTGAGAGAAATGCATACTGGGAGCAAACGTGAGTTTATCTTGTGTTGACTTTAGTTATCTGTGTTCCTGGTGTCTTCCCAACTGTGTTGAATTACTGCCGTGCCTTCAAGTCTGGAATTCTTGCTCCTGCCCTGCCAAACTGATTACCTCATTTTGCCTTGATTGGACTTATAGTTACAGTTTTTGTTGACCACATTGTGGATTTGATTCTCTGCAGCCAAAGGCTGTTCTGGGAGAGTTCTTCTCCAGCCAGAAGGTAACCTGGACATTGGGGGCAAAGTTGGAGCTAATAAAGAGACTCCTACTGATTGTCTGACTGTGTTGCCTTTGGGCCACAGTACTTTGGGTCATCGCAAAGAGGATTCTTTGTGGCTCTGCTTTGCTATGTGCTTCATCCCCCCCCCCCCCGGGTTTGTTATTACATGGATGTATGAGCCAGGTGGTGCAGTACAGGTAATCCTTGACTTACCACCACAACTGAGCCCAAAATTCCTGTTGCTAAGCGAGACAGTTGTTAAGGGAATTTTGCCCTATTTTGCAACCTTTTTTGCCACCGTGATTAAGTGAATCACTGTAGCTGTTCAGTTAGGAATACAGCTGTTCAAAATAGATCTGGCTTCCCCGTTGACTTTCCTTGTCAGAAGGTAACACAGTTGTTAAGGAACATGGTTGTTAAGTGAATCTGGCCTTCTCCATTGACTTGGATTGTCAGGAAGGTCAAAAAAGAGGATCACATGACCCCAGGATCCTGCAACCATCATAAATGTGAATCAGTTGCCAAGAGTTTGGATCATATGACCATGGGGATGCTACAACGGTCATAAATGTGAAAAACTCATAAATCACCTTCTATAGTGCCACTGTCACTAAATGAATTGTGGTAACCCGAGAACTACTTGTATTGAAGGCAAACTCTGCCCACAGCCAGGAGTTCCTGACAGGACTCAAGGTCAATTCAGCCTTCCGTCCTTCCCAGGTCGGTAAAATGAGGACCCAGATTGCTGGGGGAAAATAGGCTGACTCTGTAAACCACTTAGAGAGGGCTGTAAAGCACTGTGAAGCGGTATAGAAGTCTAAGTGCTCCTTCCTTCCTTCCTCCCTTTTCTTCCTTCCTTCCATCCTTCCCAGTTGTCAGAATGTAGAATTGCAGACTAACTCTGCCAACTTCCAGGAGTTCGATCCTGACCAGCTCCAGGTTGACTCAGTCTTCCGTCCTTCCAAGGTAGGTAAAATGAGGACCAGATTGTTGCGGGCAACAGGCTGACTCTGTAAAGCACCTAGAGAGGGCTGGAAAGCACTGTGAAGCAGTATAGAAGTCTAAGTACTATTGCTGCTCCTTCCTTCCTTCCTTCCTTCCCTCCCTCCCTCCCTCCCCTTCCCTTAACTCCTTCCTTTCTTCCTGACAGTGGTTAAAATGCAGCATTGGGGCTAACTCTGCCTTCAGCCAGGAGTTCGATCCTGACAGGACTCAAGATTGACTCCGCCTTCCATCCTTCCAAGGTCGATAAAATGAGGACCCAGATCATTGGGAGCAAGAGGTTGATATTTATAAAAAAAAAAAAACCAGGAAGATGGATCTGAGTGGACCTCCGATTTAGACAAGACGTGCAGCAGCCCCAACCTCCTTCCTCTCCTGTACCTGCAGTCGAAGCTGGGCCATGTCACGCATCAGCCGGTTCCGTCGGGCTTCCTCGGCAGCCTAGGAGGGAAAGAGGGAAGGGGGGGGGGGGGCACACCAAGTTAACCTGCTTTTTAAACTATAACCTCCCCATTTCCCAGATGCATCTCTAAGGACAATCCTTTTTAGGATACGGCTTCCAAAAACTCCAATGACGAAGCATGAATTCATATCATGCCTCATTCTCTGACAGATACCGGATAATGTAGTTGGGGTTGGGTTTTTTTGTAAGTCATGCTGCCCACATAGCAAAGCTTTTGAAGGACCGAGAAAACTTTTTAAATATTTAAAAGTGCAAAAAAAATTTTTTTTTTATGATTCAGAAAGAAGATATCAGGGGCTGAGTCTTGCTATAGCCCTATATATACTAGTTTCATTGATGACATAAGAAACTGAGTGGAACCCGATATTTGCAGATGGACGTGTTGATAATGCACTAAGTATCAGCCACCCACCCCAATTCTTGTCAATCAAAAAGGTAGATTTCCTTCTCTGCAGCCATGCAGATTCTGTTTTTAATTTTAATTTTCCAAGGGATTTCTTTGACCCTTTTCAAAAATTCTTCCCATTCCCAAGCTCAAGGTTGACTCAGCCTTCTGTCCTTCTGAGGTGGGTAAAATGAGGACCCAGACTGTTGGGGGCAAGAAGCTGACACTGTAAACCACTTAGAGAGGGCTGGAAAGGCACTGTGAAACGGTATAGAAGTCTAAGGGCTATTGCTATTGCCCTTCCTTCCACCCCTCCCTCCCTCCGTCCTTCCTTCTTCTGTAAACCGCTTAGAGAGGTCGGGAAAGCACTAGAAAGCAGTACATAAGTCTAAATGTCCTTTCTTCTAATTAATAGTGCAGACTAACTCTGCACACTGCCAACAGTTCAAGGTCTAAACCACTTAGAGAGGGCTGTGAAGCACTGTGAAGCAGTATATAGGTCTAAGTGTCCTTCCTTCCTTCCCTTCTCTTTCTTCCTTCCTTCCCTCCCTCCCTCCCTCCCCAGTGATTAGTAGTGCAGGCTAACTCTGCACACTGCCAACAGTTCAAATCTGACCAAGATCTAAACTGCTTGAAGAGGACTGTGAAGCATTGTGAAGCGGTATGTAAGTCTAGGTGCTATTGCTATCACCCCTCTCAATTTCAACAAACACCCCATAGTTTCCAAGCTTTTCACAAACCCCAAAGAGATGCTTTTTAAAAATCAATCGTTTTTTCAGAGAGGGAATTGAACCAACCCAAAGCAGTTAAAAGAGGAAGTAAAGAAGAACAGAAGATGACTACCAATGGTTGTGACTAGTTACAGGGTAGATGGAGCACCAGTCAGCTGATTCTTCTTCTTCCCACATTAGCACCCAACCCAGCCTTGGTTCCCACCCACCCACCCCTCCCGGGCTCACCATGCGGAACTGCGCCTGGGCCTGCTGCAGCAGGCCATCCTGCTCTGACTGTGCGATGCTGATGAAGATGCCCACTTCGGAGTTGTACTGCAGGATGCTGCCTTGCAGGCGGGTGATGAAATGGCCGAAGCTTCGGATGCAGCAGATGCGAACCACGGACTGCGGGGAAGAGGAGAGGGGGCATCTTTAGGGCAGGGGTAGCACCCAGGAGAAGTCAAGTCAAGGAGAAGGCTAGCTGTGTTGGGGGCGGGAATGGATGGATTGTGGGTGGGTGGAAGTAACTGGCTCAGCCCAACTGGACCTCAAACTGCCCATTGCAATCATAGATAGGTAGGTGGATAGGTAGGTGGATAGGTAGGTAGGAAGGCTAGACACAGAGATATAATAGAGATTAGATAGATATAGGTAGGTAGGTAGGTAGGTAGGTAGATAGATAGATTAGACAGCGAGATATAATAGAGATTAGATAAATGGAGACTGACTCTGTGAACCACTTAGAGGGCTGTAAAGCACTGTGAAGTGGTATATACAGTAAGTCAAAGAGTTATTGCTGTTCTTTCTTTCTTTCCTTCCTTCCTTCCTTCCCTCCCAGTGGTTAGAATGCAGTATTGCAGGCTAATTCTGCCAACTGCTAACAGTTCAATCCTGACAGGCACAAGGTTGACTCAGCCTTCCATCCTTCTGAGGTCGGTAAAATGAGGATCCAGATTGTTGGGGGCAAGAGGCTGACTCTGTAAAAATCGGTATATAAAGTCCAAGTGCTATTATCATTATAATCCTCAACTCAACCCAAATCCAACTTTTGCAATCTTTTTTTCTTAATTTTTTGTAAAAAAAAAGGGGGGGGGGAGGCAGGGAAATCTCCATCACCTCCTCCACTTCGGTAAGGACAGGCCGGTCCTGCTCAAAGTTAAACCTCTTGTGCGCGCTCTTCAAAGGGGGCAGGTTGCGGAGGGCCACGTCTTCTGGCAGGAGCAAGCAAGTGTTCAAGTCAGGAAGTTCGCAGCCCGACAACATGCTCTTCACTTCACTGGAGAGGAACAAGCCTGCAGCAAGAAGGGAGACAATCACCGACAGAGCCCAGAGGGAGGAAAGACCTGAAGCCTCTCATGGGCCCTTTTTAATTCTGAATTTTTATAGTTTTATTCTATTTTGTTATAATATTTATATACAGGTAGTCCTCGACTTACAACAGTTCATTTAGTGACCATTCAAAGTTGCTGGATTTTGACTATTCTTCACACTTGCAACCGTGGCAGCATCCCCATGGTCATGTGATTTACCATTCGGATGTTTGGCAACTGACTCACATTTATGATGGTGGCAGTGTCCCATGGTCATGTGATTCCCTTTTTGTGACCTGACAAGCAAAGTCAAGGGGAAGGCCAGATTCACTTAATAACCATGTTAGTAATTTAACAGCTGCAGTGATTCACTTAACAACTGTGGCAAGAGGGGTCATAAAATGCAGCAAAACTCACTTAATGAGTGGACATGAGCCACAGTGGCACAGTGGTTAGAGTGCGGTACTGCATGTTATTTCTGTTGACTGTTGGCTGACTGCAATTTGACAGTTGGAATCTCACCAGGCTCAAGGTTGACTCAGACTTCCGTCCTTCTGAGGTTGGTAAAATGAGGACCCAGATTGTTGGGGGCAAGAGGCTGTAAACTGCTTAGAGAGGGCTGTAAAGCACTGTGAAGCGGTATATAAGTCTAAGGGCTATTGCTATTTTCCTTCCTTCATTCCTTCCTTCCTTCCTTCCTTCCTTCCTTTCCTTCCTTCCTTCCTTCCTTCCAGAATGCAGTACTACAGATTAACTCTGCACACTGCCAACAGTTTGATCCTGACCAGCTCAAGGTTGTCTCATCCTTCTGTCCTTCTAAGGTGTGTAAAATGGGGACCCAGATTGTTGGGGGCAAATAGGCTGACTCTGTAAACCGTTTAGAGACGGCTGTAATGCACTGTGAAGCGGGATATAAGTCTAAGGGCTATTGCTGTTAATAACTAACTTGCTTAGCAACATAAATTTTAGGGCCAATTGTGACGATAATCCTGGAATCACCTGTATAGCTTTTTTAATGTCTATTTGTACACCGTCCAGACTCACTCTGAGGGAGATGGGTGGACCCAGAAGCTTCATCAGTTCTGGGGTATGACTGATGAAGCTTCTTGGGTGAGAAGGAAAACGTCTTCTTCCTCAGGGAAACAAGAACCCAGTTGCCTTTTGAAAAAGCCCCTTTGAGACAACTATGAGCTGGCTGACTGAGAATCTCCACAAACATGAAGGGAAGAAGGGCTCCTTCTGACCAACCTCTGCCACCAGAGAGGCTTTAAAATGTTAACTGCTGAGTGGTCTTGCAAGAGAGGCTGCCGGAAGGGGCAAAATGAAACAAAACTTTCCTGCTTGTGCCAATGAACCAATCTGGAGAATTGGACCATAAGGGGAAGTATAAAACCATTCAGCAAACAGTGAAGGCTGAACCACACAAGTAATGCATATTCAGAATTGGGGAGGGCGGGGGGGGGGAATAATGAAAGAAAAGAGTTTCATAGAAGTGTACCAGAATCTTGCAGGTCTCCGGCTGAAGGAAGCAGGTTTAGGAGGACTGAAAGTCGATTCCATAAACTCTGGGAACTCTGCAAGGAGAGAAAGTGGGAAACAATAGGGAAGTTTGAACATCTGAAGATATCTTTTCTTCTTCCTCAGCCAGGGCATCAAATTATTGGGAGGATAAAGTGGGAGATCCTTCAGGGCCCAAATAGTGTGGCTTTTCACCCAGAGCTGCTCCATAAAGAGAGAGAAAGCACAAAAGGTATGGAGCGGGAGGGAGATTTAAATCAGCTGTGATATAAGACAGTGGCATCATTGGGGCTCTCTGAACTTTGTGGTTTTCTTGCAGACATTTCCTGACCCAACCAGAGAACAATTTTGGATGGACACCCTTTGAAGGATGAGGGAGTACGAATGGATTTCCAGAGGGAAAAATGCAGACTACAGGAATCAGGAGCACCACTCAGGTGACCTTGAGGATACAGATAAACTTCCAAGTGTCCTCCAAGTGACCATCCAGTCAGAGCTGAAGAAGCTTCTTGGATGAGAAAGCGAAATGTCTTCAAGGAAAAACCAGGAGGTCCAGTGGCCTCCTGAAAAAGCACCTTTGGGACATTAGAAACCCAAGGCGGCAAAAGAGAAGGGAAGAGAGGCTTCTGCAGGAGCCAAGACCTACTCACCTGCGCGCACATGATGATGAGGTCGGTGTTCGTTCTCAGCCAGTCCAGGAACACCTTGACAGTGGGCAGCAATCCTTCGCCACTTATAATTTCCAGTTTCTCTTGGAGAGAGCGCTCGTTCCTGCAGGATCTGCTGCTGGAGATGCTTTCTTCTGACTCGGAAACATCATCTTAAGACCAGGGAAACGTATTGTTAAAACTCAAAGAGATTGGAGAAGTTAGCAAAGGGCAAAGAATTGTAGGGCTGGAAAGGAGCGTGGCCAAGGAACTATGGCTGTGACGGCGAACCGATGGCATGTGTGCCAGAGGTGACAAGCAGAGCCCCCTCAGTGGACATGTGCGCCATCGCCAGCTGTTCTGGTTTTATGCACACCGGCAAGCTGGTCTTCGCGGGCACCAGAGCACTGGAAAAGGGCCTGAAAATTGGCCAAAAAATGGACCATTTTTCGGGCCTTTTCCAGGCCATTTTTGCACCATTTTCTAGGGCATTCTTGTGGCATTTTCTGGGGTGTTTTCAGGCCGTTTTTCAGACCATTCAGACCATTTCAGACCAGGCCTGTTTTAGGAGTTGCCATACTAAAAAAAAAGGGGGGGGGAGGGAAATCTGGAAGAGCAGTGCAGCAGTTTGGAAGCGGAATTCAAATCCTTGGCAGCTGACTCGCACTGAGGGCCATTCTGAGGCCCCAGGTCACGTGACCCCCTTTTGCAACCTTCCGACAGGCAGTGGGGAAAAGCCGGGTTCCCTTGAGAACCGTGTTTGTAACTTCACTGCAGTGATTCACTTCACAACAAAATGGTCATAAAATGAGGCTAAACTCCCTTAACAAATGTCTCCCTTAGCAACAGAAGGTTTGGGCTCAAGTTACGGTCGTAAGTTGAGGACTACCTGTATTTGGATTCTAATCCCATAGTCCAGTGATGGTGAACCTTTTCGGCACCAAGCACCCAAACCAGAACGCATGTGCATCTGTGTGCGCCAAAGCGCCAGAAAACCAAAGACCAGCTGGCTGGTGCGTGCATGCCTGGGTTTTTGGCCATTTTCCAGGCCGTTTTTCAGGCTGTTTTGGGCCTGACAAATGGCCTGTTTTTAGGGCATTTTCTGGGGCATTTTCCGAGCATTTTTCAGGCATGAAAATGGCCCACAGATATTCCAACTCTTCTCTTTAAAAGACTGTAACTAAACTACCAAGGCTTTTGCCCTGAATATATTTAATTGGAGAACGTGATTGATGACACCGAGCCTGTGAACGTGCTCAGTTGCAGAATCTGATTTATGACACACCCAAGGGGGAGGGAGGGAAACGGGGTCACAGGGAACTGTAAATCATGTCTGCCAGAGTTGGCTTCACACAGCGCAGGGCCAGTAAGTGGCCTCTAACGAATCCTTTGAAGTTTGGGTCAAGAATCATGATTTAATTCGGCGATTGCTGGATTCCTGACACCCAGCTTTCCCTTTTCCCCGCCCCTCCGTCTCTGTCTTCCCCAACCAACGAGCCCTCACCTGGCTCAGGTGCCAAGGACCTCTCCACGTCCCCGTTGACGCAAGGCTTGCCATCTCCTGCTGCCTCCTTCGGAGCGGGCGGCCCACAGCCCGGCTTCAGAAGGACGTTGCTGAAAGTGGGGGCCAGCCGGAAGCACCGCTTGGTCTGGAAGAGCTGCGTGGACATGGCCTGCAGGTTGCTAGCGATGCTGGCCTCACTGCCGCCCAAGGAGCCTGGCCCGTTGGCCACAGGCTCTGGAGGGTCAGTCTTGGGGAGGCCAGGGCCTTTCAAGTCTGGCAGCCGACCCCCTTCACTGGCCAAAAAGTCTGGGGCTCCCCTGGTCCCGTTCTTGACACCCCGGGGCTGGCCATTGCCCCCTTCAGCCTCGGCCTCCTCTTCCTCCATGTCTTCCAGATCCGAGCGGGATTCCTGGCTGTTCATGTCGGAATCAGACTCCATGTCAAAGGCCGCCTCGGCTTCTTCGTCGCTCTTCTCGGAGCCCGTCTCCGAGGCGCCACTAGCTTTGGTGGACTCCGGACTGGAATCTGAGTCGAAGCCCTCGCTCAGGTCACTCTCGTCCAGCTTCTGGGCCCGGCGGCGACGGCGCAGGCAAGAGAGGCGCGAATACTTTTTGCCCTTTTGGCTGTCGTTCTGCTGTGGCTCCCCAGGGGGCTGGGGGCCAGTCGAGTCAGCTTCACTTTCTCTCTCGACGGAGTTTGCCGTCTCCTGGGCCTCTGGGCCCTCTGCAAGAATAGACAAAGGCAGCTGCAGCTCAAAACGCAGGAGACACAATGAACCTCTGCACCCAGGAACCGAGCCATCAAATGTTCTGGCGAAAGGGACGTGCTACAGACCCTATTGGTCAAGGACTCCGGCCGGTGGGGTCCAGGGAGAAGACTCTTTCCTGCTCTGGTGTCTCACTCCCCTCAGGGTGAGATTCATCCCACCCTCTTGGCCTTCCCAAAGGAAAACTAACCAAGGAGAGAAGCAACCTAGAACTAAGGAGGAATTTTCCTGACAGGGAGGACAATCAGTGGAACAACTTCCCTCCAGACAGTCCCTCCGGAAGTTGTGGGTGCTCCATCACTGGGAGTTTTTAAGAGGAGATTGGACAGCCCATTTGCCCGGGTCTCCTGCTTCAGCAGGAAGTTGGACTAGAAGACCTCCAAGGTCCCTTCCAACTCTGTTATTCTGTATTCTATTCTCTAAAGCACCCGAGGGCAAGACAAGTAGCAACAGGTGAGAGAGATCATTCTCTTTTGTTTGAAAGAGACACAGGGGAGTGGTCCAGGCAGTGTCCCATTCGGAACCAGGCCACGTGAAAGGTGACCCATTTCACACGCACAGCTCCACTCACACAAGCGCCGCCGCAAAGGCTTATCTTCTCTCTTGTGTGCATGCACAATGACCCACTTTTCACACGGCCTGGCTCCAAATAGGACCGCCTGAACCAGTCCCCTGTGTCTCTTTCAAACAACCACTCCCTTTCACTACTGTCAAACTTAAGTAAAATTAGGGGCAATTCCCAATTTTACTAGAAACAGGGAGACTCTGAGTTCTAGTCGTGCCCAAAGCATGAAAATCAATAGTGTGACTGTGGGCCAATCACCAGAAAACAGTGCCTGTCTTAGGCATGAAAGTTGGTTTGGTAAGTTTGTGCCAATCACTAGGAGGTTTTGACTTCCAAATCCTGCCTTAGGCACGAAAGCCAGCTGGGTGACTTTGGGCCAATCCTGTCTCAACCCAATGCACCTCACCTGGTTGCTATTGTACAGAAAATAGAAGGAAGGAGTAGTAGATATGTTTGCTGCCTTGAGTGGTTTATAAAAATTATAATAAAGGTGGCATCTAATTAAAACAAATAGGTTGCCTTTAGCACTGAGAAACACAATCTGTTAGTCAACTAGGCAATATGCTGATTCTCCATGCACTGGTCCTAAAGAGCTGGGACGAAGGGGGCTCCTGTTGGACCCCACCTGCTTTGCCCCCAAAGAACAGCTCTCCAGGGAATGTGTGTCCTTACCGGTGCCATCGTTCTGGAAGGCTGGAACTGGGTTCTCTCCTTCTTCCAGTTCGGCTTGGAGGCGGATGTTGACATGGTTAATCAGGTGTGAAAAAAGGGCCAGGGTGAATGCAATGGCTGCACTGTACTGTCTGGAGCCTGCAGAAAAAATGAGAAGCAGCCAGAGTTACTCCTGAATTCAGAAAAGACAAAGAACGCACAAGGCCCAAACTAAAAAAAAGTAACAATAAAAATCCATGTTCTGCTTTAACATTTATTTATTTACAAAATGTATTGGTCACCCATCGTAACTCTGGGAGGCTTACTATTACATATAAGCAGCTAAAATATAAAAAGTTAAAAAGAAATAAACACTAACACCAATTAATAATACTATTATTATCAAGCAGCCGGTGCAAACAGGGGTTGGCTGCCCATGTTAGCTAAACCGCAGCAGAAAGACATTTATTGTCCTTAGGTTAAGGACAATCATTCCTTAACCTAAAGTTTTCAAATGCCTTTATATTCTAAAAATAGGGAAAGATGGAGAAATAAGTTTCTTCATAGATTAGATGTAAGTTTAAGGACTGAATTCATCTTATATTGATATATGAGTCTTCTTTCTCTCTTCCCCCTGAAAATGTTTTGCTTCTCATCCAAGAAGTTTCTTCCGTTCTGACTAAAGCAAAGTCAGAACTGAAGAAGCTTCTTGTATGAGAAGTGAAATGTTTCAAGGAAATAAAAAACCAAGGAAGCCCACTGGCATTTTGGAAAAGCACCCTTGGGACACACATCACCTGGATGACGGAGCCTCTCCATGGACAGATTCTACTTGTTATGAGCTGCATTGGCCACTTTTAGCAACACAGGTAGTCTTCAATTTACAACTACAACTGAGCCCAAATTTCTATTTGCTAAGAGAGACATTTGTCAGAGTGAGTTTTGCTCCATTTTACGACCTTGCTTGACACGTTTGTGAAGTGAATCACTGCAGTTGTTACGTTAAGAGCCCAGTTGTTAAGGGAATCTGGCTTCGCAAAAGGGCATCACGTGACCCCCTGGGACACAGCAACCGTTATAAAAGAGGACTCTGTTGCCAAGCATTTGAATTTTGTTCACGTGACCGTAGGGATGCAGCAATGATCGTAAGTGTGAAAAAACGGTCACAAGTCCCTTTTCTCACTGCTGCTATAACTTCTTGTTTCCTAGGGCTCAGAACTTAGAAAAGAGACAAGGAGAAGATAGAAAAGAGAGAGGGGGGGACAAGAGAGGGGGTGGGGAGGAGAGAAAGAAGGAGACTCTGTCATACACCCGTTGGAGTCCGAGGAGAGAAGCTCCGTTGGCTGCGGAGGAAACTGGGGAAGGGCAAAGTCATGCTGGGCAGAGCAGGGGAGAGGTAGAACAAGGTAGGGGGGATTCAGAGGCAGGCCAAGGCCCAACCCCTCCTCATCCTACGGCGTGCAGGACCCTGATTCCCTTCACAAGGTATGCCTGAGGAGGGAGTTTAAAGGAGAAGCAGTTGGGAGGGGTGTTTGTCAGGAACAAACATTGAGTTTATCTAATGTTGGCTGCTGTTGACTCCCAACTGGTTGGATTTACTGCCATGTTACTTCACTTCTGGAACTCCTTAGCTTGCCCTGCTGGATTTATTACCTTATCTTGCTTTGTTGGGTTTATAGTTTAAAGTTTTCTGTTTACACTGTTTTGGATCAGAATATCTGCAGCCAAAGGCAGTTGCAGGTTCCTGGGAGAGTTCTTCTCCAGACTGGAAGGTAACCAGGACATTGGGGGCAAAGTTGGAGCTAATAAAGGAACTCTTTCTTATTATCTGGCTGGGTTGCCTTTGTGCCATGCCCCAGGTCATCACAGCCTCTTTCGCTTGCTCGGTAGGATGAAATAAAGGGGGAAGGAACAAAGCACTCAATTTGGTCTTTGAAAGAACCCAAAGGTCAAACGTTGCCTTTGTGCTAAAAATTGCCAGTGGTCACTAACTGAACTGTTGTAAGTCAAGAACTACCTGTAATACAGAGGAGTCAGGAGAGACCCCACTACAAGCAGGCCTCCAGGGAAACTCACAGCCACACCCGAGGGGGTGGAAGGAAAAATGTCTGTATGGTATAACCCAGAAAATAGGAATATAGAACCCGGAGCCTCCTAGCTCTGAACCTGCCCAGGTGTGGCACTTACCTGCCCTCTTGAGGCTGTGGACGCTCATCAGGCAAATGACGATCATGCGGAAGATGAGCAGGTCCGGCAGGAAGGAGCAGCCGTTCTCCCACTCCTCCTCCTCCTCCGCAGTGGAGGTCGGGTGGGGTGAAGAGGGCAGGTAGAAAAGGCAGAGGTTCAATTCCTCCAGGACTGACTGGCAGAGGGTGGTCAGCTCCGAGTCAGCAGAACTTGAGGGGAGAAAAAAGGCAGAGGATGAAAGAGCGGAACTCCAAGCTTTTGTCGCAACCAAGAGGCAGCCACAACTGTGGAGGAAACTCAGCTCGGGAGAGACTGTTGAGGTAATTCCCCTTTAGAAGAATGAGTGCATACAGGGAGACATAGTGAGAGAAGTGTTGAATAATACACACACAGCACACAGATACACTGTACAGTAAATGTAGGTTTTTACTTCCAGAAACTTTTAAGCAAAGTTCAAAATAAGCAGTCCAAAGTCATTCACAGGTAAGATCAGTCAGTTTTCGGTCCAGGGATAATCCAGTAACAAAGTCCAGTGTCAAAAACAGTTCGAGACTTACATCAAATCCAGGAATAGCAGTCAATTAGGAAAAATGGCAATTATCTCCAACAGAAGGAAACAGAGACTCACTCACACTCTCTTCTGAGACTAAGACTAAGATAACCCTGGTTTCTGGCTCCATCTTATGGCCGTTTGAGAAACTACACCCAATTACATTTTTTAAAGATACAGTTTTAAAAAATTTCTATCCTGGTTTATATATTGTCCAACCCAAATAGCTGTTAGGTGACTTATATTCCTAACAGAGATGGGGGAAGGTGTGAGAACCTGAAACAGGGTCCTCACGGCAACGTCACAATAAGCCAATTTCCAGAATCTGTCAGGGGAGACAATCTTGAAACGGGGCCCACAGCATCTGAACAAAGAGCCCACAGCGCACACACAACCCCCTACAACTGCAAGATCATCAGGCTAAACACCCCCGTGTTTCCCAAAACACCTGGGCAATGTCGGATTGGTTAGTAAAAGTATTTCTTCCTTCAGCCAAACAGGAGTCGATAGTTTTTCTTCCCCAAAGGGATCAGACTGGGGCAGATCTGACACAGGGTATCATTAATAGCATAGTATCTAATTCATTGAGCCGTGGCGGTGCGGTGGTTAAGAGTGCAGTACTGCAGGCTACTTCTGCTGACTGCCAGCTGAGTGCAATTTGGCAGTTTGAATCTCACCAGGCTCAAGGTTGATTCAGCCTTCCGTCCTTTCCAGGTCGGTAAAATGAGGACCCAGATTGTTGGGGGCAAGAGGCTGACTCTGTAAACCGCTTAGAGAGGGCTGTAAAGCACTGAGAAGCGGGATATAAGTCTAAGGGCTTGTGCTATTAGGGTGGCAGCTGTTATGCCATGCAGGGGCACAGAAGTCTCCTGTGGAGTAGACCAGCCCTAGTGCTCCCACCAAGGAAAGGCCACGGTGAAATTTTTCTTAAATAGGTGCATTTACACCATCAGAAGGTTTCACAGAGGAGACTTACCTACTCTTTGGCTGAAAGAGGCTCTGTAGATACATGAAGCTCACCAGTAACCTTTTAATGTCTTTGCACCTGCCAAATTGGAGAGAATGGGGAGGGGTGGGGAAAGAGAGCATTTAGTAGATTTTGATACAAGTCAGACATACTTCATGAATTTTTCATTCGTTTACTTTTGGCAAGGGAAAAAAAATGACTGGAGGGAAACCTTGGCGAGTTTTGTCCTGTTTTAACAACCTTTCTTGCCACAGTGGTTAAGCGGATCCCTGCAGTTGTTAAATTAGTAGCAGGGTTGTTAATCTGGCTTCCCCATTGATTTTGCTTGTCAGAAGTTCGTCATAAATATGAACCAGTTGCCAAGTGTCTGAATTATTAGCAAGTGACCATGGGAATGCTGCAATGGTCGTTAAAGTATTGAAAAATGGTCCCAAGTCACTGTCGTAAATGGTCACTAAATGAATTGTCAGAACTAAGTGTACACCTTTGCACATACAAGGACTGTTTTATGCCAAACAAACTGGTTTTCTCAGAGTGAAGCTTTGGCTGCCTAGGGCAGGTCTAACCTAAGATTACTGCCCCAGGGCTTCCCTGTTATAAATTATGACCTAGCGCTAGCAGGACCAAAGGTATAAAACAGAAACGATTTAAATTGGCTAAAAGGAGCCCTTCACCTCATTTCCCAATATCATTGGGACAGGTGATTTTTTTCTCCAAATTGTCAACTGAAACTGATTGGGTAAGCTGGATACTAAAAGCAACTAGAATTGTATTTGCTCAAACTTGGAAAAACGAAAAGGTTCCGATGGAGGAGGAGGAGCTTAAGAAAATACTGGAATGTGCAGAAATGAGTAGATTAACACTGGCAATTAGAGAACAAGAAGAAATGGAGCATTATAAGATTTGGGATTTATTTTATGGATGGTTGGAAAATAAAGAAATTAAATGACATTGTAATGATGATATATTATGATATACTGTATAATATTGAACAGACTATATAATGCAAGTGTAAACTTAGTAAGAAATGTATACAAATATTGATATGTGCACAAGATATATGTACCCAGTCAGCACACTATATAACTGAAAGATGGTTTTATTTTTTGTTTTTGTTATAAAAATAAAAAAAAAAAATTTTTTTTAAAAAAGCTCTAAAACAAATTCCCAGCTGCCTAAGGAATTCTGGGAATTGGAAGTCCATCCATCTTAAAAGTTGTCAAGCTTGAAAAACACTCCCCCCCCCCCCCCCAAAAAAAAGAATACTCAGCGCAGCATCCTCCAGCGATGTCTTCCGCCATGAACGAGTCAGAAAATGGCATATTTAAATAGGTAGGGGGCTGGATTAACAGAGTTGGAAGGGACCTTGTGGGTCATCTAGTCCAAACCACCACCACCCCGCCCAAGCAGGAGATCCTACACCATTTCTGACAGATGGCAGTCCAGTTTCAGTGCCCAAGTACAGCAAGAGCTGTCCATCTGATTACTGACCGGCCATTCCACTTTGTGTCTGACTTTGAATGCCAACGGGAGGCCAAGTCATCCTTGAGGGCCCCCCCCCCCCCCCCCCCGCGAGTGGGGGAAGCTGCCTTCTCACCTTTTTTTGCTTGAGGACAGCTTCCGGGTCTCGCATTTCTTCAGCTGGTGATACATTTTGGCTGCCTTGTCATAGAGGCGCTTCAGATTCCCGTAAGCACCTTCAAAGGACACTTCTGACTGGATGCTAAACAGGGGAGCAGAAAAACTAATTTTCTCAATCAGCCTTAATTCTCTTTCTCCCTCCTTCTTTCCTTCCTTCCATCCTGTCCTCTTCTTTCCTTCATCCCTCCCTCTTTTCTCCCTTCCTCTCTTCCTCCCTTCCTTAAACCTATCTCTTCCTTCTTTCACCCCTTTCCTCTCTCCCTGCCTTTCCTTCCTTCCTCTTTCTTTCCTTCCTTCCCACCCTCCCTTCTCCCTTCTTTCCCCTTTCAGAAATTTTACTCTGGTGACTTTAGTTTCTCTCCCTTCCACAAACATTGCCTGTCTGCTCATGAAACATCTAAGCTAGTTCATGCTCAGAGTGTACCCCTTAAGGGGAATCTGAGATCAACCAAGCCTACATTCTGTAGAGAAACCAGGTTCCAGGCAATGGAAGCCACTGCAAAAATGCCAGGTGTAAAGATTATTTTTTTTAAAGGTAGCTGAAATTTCACCCGAACTCTTGTTCATTTAGTTAAGGAGGCCACCAGAAAATCATCCATGTACTTTGGAGGCTATGAACGCCATATTGCTAACCTTTGCCAGGTATTATGCAAATCTAACTCTACCTGCCACCTTTCTGTTTAGGAAACATGAGCTGGAAATAAAACAATTCCTCCAAAAAACACAATGGCTACTTTGCAAGAGTTTCTATGAGTCAAGCTCCATTTCTCCCTGATTTGCTTTTCATCTTTGTCAATCTTGGCAACTTTAAGGCGTCTGGATTTCAACTCCCAGAATTCCCTGAACTGCTGGCTGGCAAATTCTGGGAAGTAAAGTTCAGATGTCTTAAATTTGCTAAGGTTTGAGAAACACAGGTAAATAAGGAAGAAGCTCGGATTTGGAGGGATATATCCTTTGCCCTAGCCATTGCATCAGTTCCATCCACTCTGGCCTCAGACATCCTCCTTCATAAAGTTCTCAATTCCCTAAAAAGGAGTAACAAAATAGCAGAACAACAGAGAATGGAGGTCTTCTAATCCAGCCCTCTGCCTAAGCAGAAAAGAAAGAATGATCCTGTTTGTGTTGACAGTATAGAGAGGGGAAGAAAGTGGACATTTCTCCCGCTGAATAGCTCTAAGCCAGAGTTGCCTTATTGGGGAGACAGGAAAAACAAAACAAAAACAGCACAGTTCATGTCCAGCCAGCATAGTCTACTGGACAGAGAGGTTTTCATGCCCTAAGTATGAATGGAACAGAGCTGCAAGGGACCTTGGAGGTCTTCCAATCCAGCCCCCTGCTCAGGTAGGAGAATCTATACTGTTACAGATAAGTGACTATCTCTAGACTTTTCTTAAAAGCCTCCAGTGATGGAGTGTCCACAATTTCTGGTGGCCAGCTGTTCCACTGGTTAATTGTCCCCACTGTTAGGAAGTTTCTCCTTAATTCCAGGTTGCTTCTCTCTTTGGTGAGTTTCCAACCATTGTTTCTGTTCTGCCCCTCTGGTGTTTTGGAGTATAATTTGACCCCCTCTTCTCTGGGGCATCCCTTCAAATCCTGGAATACTGCTAGCATGTCACCCCTAATTCTTATTTTCTTTAGACCAGTAAAATAAGGGAAGCTGCCTTTTATAAACTGTTTCTTTTCCGTGGGAGACACACTTACCAGCGCAGGTAGCAATAGGTAGCTTCCACGTTGTAGTATTTACTCCCAGCCAGCGTCCCAAGTTGGTTAAAAGGCATCCCTGTCCCCCAAAGACAGAAAACAAAGCAAACACATTCCATTATGACACAATCTTAAGGCACAAACATCTACTGTGCTTCCAAACTTATTCTTCACAATCACAACGGATTCTTCCGTCTGCCTTTAAAGCAGGGCTTCCTGGGCCAGGGTGTGTGCATGGGACCTGAGGCCTCATGTTATGTTAATGTTCTACTGTGGCACCAGAGCCAGGACAGATAGTCCTCGACTTACAACCAAAACTGGGCCCAGATTTTCACTGCTAAGCCAGGCGGTTGTTATGTGAATCACATCTGAGCTTTTTTTTTTTTGCCCTGGTTGAGAAACAAATCATTGCAGTTCTTAAGCAAGTTACACAGTTGTTAAGCAAACCCAGCTTCCCCTATTGACTGCGCATGGTTGTTAAGCAAATCACTGCAGTTGTTAAGTGAATCATGCGGTCGTTAATCAAGTCCAGCTTCCCCCATTGGCTTTGCTTATTCAGAAGGTTGGAAATGGTGATGATGTGACCCCACAATGCTGCAAGTGCCATAAATACAGGTACTCCTCGACATATGACCACCATTGAGCCCAACATTTGTTAAGCGAAATATTTGTTAAAAATGAGCTTTGCCCTATCTTATGACTTTTCTTGCCACTGTTGTTAAGTGAATCACTGTCATTTATTGGTAACCCGGTTGTTAAGCGAAACTGGCTTCCCCACTGACTTGGTTTATCAGAAGTTCGCAAAAGGGGATCACATGACCTTGGGACACTCCAACTGTCGTAAATATGAGTCAGTTGCCAAGCGTCTGAATGTAAATCAGGTGACTGTGGGGATGCTGTAATGGTTGTCAGTGTGAAAAATGCTCATAAGTCACTTTTTCCCAATGCTGTCGTAACTTCGAACGGTCACTATACTAACTGTTGTTAAGTCGAGGTGTCATCTTTGGAAACCATATTAGCACCAGACACTTCCACACTGCCACTTTTTTGAGCCTGGAAAAATGGGAGGGGGGAGTTTCTTGGAGTGTATGTGGTTAGACATAATAGCACTTTTCTTCTAAGTCAAGGTCATGTTGTTTCTGCACCTGGGTGAGAGGATGTCTCAAGCTGGGACGGATGGTGACTGGGGCATGTGATGCGATGATGGGTGCAGGGGATGGATTTGTACATTTTTACTTATTGCAAGGAAACCTGGAACTTTCAGATTTGGGATTTCCCAGATGTGCCAGTTTACTATCCAAATGAAACAGAACTTTTGAGAAGATGTCTGAGTTTTATTTGTTGGAGTGGAAGTTTTCTGGAACGCTGACATGAGGACTACCTGCAGAGCCAAATTTTGGAGAGGTAGTTTGTCTAACGTACTGGTCAGGATTTTTTTTTGATGCTAGATAAGTTGCTGACCAATTCTATTTGTGCTCAGTTACAAAATACACGTGTGCATGTTCGATTGGTGCATACCTCTACGTGTGCGTGTCGGACTACTAAATACTCACCAATTTGTGGGGCGACAGAGAGAGCTTGATAGTAAAACCTTTCGGCCAGCAATTCTGTATCTACGCCTGCCAATTCATTCTGATATCGAGCTGATAAGGCACAAAAGACATACAGAAGCCTCAAGAAACACAGTTCAGAGGATACACATCAGAAGATACCTGACTTGGTTTATATGCAAGAATGAAATAGAGAAGCCATATATACCCCCTGACTGAAAGTAGATAAATTACTTTATTGCAGTCATTAACTAGCACGAGAGAACTGATGCCCAACCGAAAGGAAAATATGCCAATCCTTTTTATGCAGCCAAGTATCTGGAAATGCTTCAGACAGTAGGAGATTCCTAATCCACAAAATGCAATGGAAAAATAAAATCAAAGTCCCAAGGGGCTTATCACAAACTTTAGATACCTCAACCAATATGGCCTGCTCCTTAGACAGGGCCTTTTTCCCCATCTGATTTCAAATAAATCCAAGTCTCAGGATTTTATCCCAGGAAAATGCTCTCTCTCACCTAAATCCCCCAGGTAAACCAGACATCGGTGGCAGGCTATCTGAGCCCAGTCCATCTCCTTCTCCGATGCAGAGACCGGCTTCTTGCAACCTGTCGAAGAAATAATCAACAGGGTGGCATAGCGTTAGAACAAGATGCTGGAAAATCAAGACAGCCGACAATTACCGACCTACCATCACAAAGCTTATTTTGGCTCACTGTCAGACCTGCCCTAGCTAGGTCCCTAGGAAAAAAAGACCCTCAACTCCGTTCGATTGGAATGATAGGATCTTTTACTAAGGATTAGCGGTTGCAGTAAAAGCAAGGTTAGAACTGAGTATTCCCATGCACAGGTTACATGTTTTCCCCCTTCCATGGTTCTCCCCCTTTGACCAGATTATCAGGATCCAGTAGCAACTGGGGGTGAAGGTTTTGATTTTTTGGAAACCGCTGTATCTTGAAACAACTTTACATTCTTTTCTTGCCCAGGCATCCTTGGGCAGCTGGATCAATCTGGTTTAACACTTCTGGTTCCTGCCAATGCCATTCCCTCCCTCCACCCCTCCCCTTTACAGCTTCCTGCACACATTCCCAACATTGTTTTGACCACCCTCCCTCTGTTTACGGCAGGATGCAAAGCAGGGTTAGTGAAGCCACTCCTCCCATCTGTGTTCTCCACCTGCAGAATGTACAATTTACATTCTGGGAGCATCTTAAGCTCAAAAACACAACAACAACATCAACCAAAAGGCAAAACCAAAGGAAACAAGGGAACAGAACAGGACTCACACAGGATTGGCTCACCCACAAGACTCAACTATAAAACTGTGGCTTGGTTTTGGTTTAGCCAGTTGTGTAAATGTACATAGTTTTGCATGACATCATTTATGATCTAAGATAACGGTATCATAAATTTAACTGCCAGGGCTGCGAACATGGCACAGAATCAGCAACACTCATTGATTGTAGAATGTGTTCTCATTTTTATTTTAGTAGATTGTAACTTGATGGGGAACTCATTCTATTTTTTAAAAAAAGAGTTTGGGAAAAGCTGGCCGAAAGGTTTTCTTAAAATGGGCTCCTTTTGAGCTTCGCTGTCACATTTTGGGAGAGTTTATAACTCACTCTCTGTGCAGTGAAGGGCTTTTACAGAGATTTGGGTGAGATTTTAAGGCAGGGATCCCCAAATTTGGCAACATTAAGACTTGTGGACTTCAACTCCCAGAATTCCGGGAGCCGAAGTCCACAAGTCTTAAAGTTGCCAAGTTTGAAGACCTCTGTTTCAAGATGTAACCAAGATGTCAAAAGCCAAAGAATTTGAGTGTGGGCCTGAAAATCGTCACACACACACACACACTCCATTAATTCTACAGTAATGCCAGGGAGATGCTCACAGCAACAGTTGCCAAGGACACTTGTCATCTAGCAAGTTACGATGGGCAACAGCCTGACAGATTCTCACCAGCCACGGGCTGAAAATGCGCAAAGGTGATTAGCGGTTACCTAATCAAGCTGTGGTTATTCTCTTTTCCAAGGCAAATTTTAATCTGGAAAAGTCTATCTCATTTAAAACTGTTGAGGACTGTCAGGCGATTACAATAAAGTTCAGATTAAGAAACATAACAATAAAATCCATTCCCTCCCCCTTTTTAAAGCTACACTTAACACTGTCCAATTAAATTAGAAGCTAGTGTGAGATAGCTTAAATAAGCGTGCAAATGTCATGCAAAATTATTCTTTAGGTTACCAGTTCCAAAATTATTTGATTTAGGAGGACTTCTAAGCTGTCAATTTTATTTTTGTATGTGTGGCCCAATAATCCAATACCAAACGGCATTTTTTTTTAAATCAAGAGCAAAATAATATGCATTAAACCCCAAGAAGAAAGGCCATGTCTGCAGAACCCTCATGTTAAGGTTAACTTTCAATGGTTTTAAAAAATTAAATATACAGACCAAATTTTCGGAGGCTGTGCATACTGACACCAAAATTATCTGAAATGCTAGCCATCGCCCCCAAAAGGATATCTACACCATAGAAAACCTACTGTGGTGTCCCCACAAACCTCATCTTGAAAATAATTTCTGTATATCCTACAACTTACATGTATTCATTTTGCTGTTATCAACTGTCCATCTTGAAATTTCAACTGTTACATGATACGATTGATTTCATAGAACCATAGAGCTAAAGTGGAGCTTCTACTCCAACCTCCTGCCCAAGGCAGTATCCAGGAGAAATGGATGTCCAGTGTCTTCTTGAAAGCCTCCAATGATGAAGCACCCACAACTCCTGGTGGCAAGCTGTTCCACCGGTTAACTGTTCTCACGGTCAGGAAATTGCTCCTTAGTCCCAGGTTATCTGCTACCATGTCCTACCAGTCAATGGCTACTTCAGCTACAACCACAATACAAGAGCACACAATGTAAACCACTCCAGACTTGATTGCAGAAAGTACGACTTCAGCAACAGAGTGGTCAACGCCTGGAATGCACTACCTGACTGTTGTCACATCCTCTAACCCTCACTCCTTTAACCTCAAACTATCCACCATTGACCTCACCCCATTCCTAAGAGGTCTGTAAGGGGCGTGCGCAAGTGCACAATCGTGCCTACTATCCCTGCCCTATTGTCCCCATTTATGTGTACCTATTTCCTATATTTGTACTCATGTTTATTCTTATACCTATTATCTTGTAAGCGATTGACAAATCAAATAAATAAATAAAATGGGTGGAAACTAAGGGGAAATTTCCTGACAGTGAGAACAATTAACTAGTGGAACGGCTTGCCTTTAGGAGTTGTGGCAGCCCCATCACTGGAGGTTTTTAAAAAGAGATTGGAATGCTTGAGCAGGGGATTGGACTAGAAGACCTCCAAAGTCGCTTCCTACTGTGTTATTCTTGATCGCAAAAGCACCAACAGGCCAGGTGGGCCAAGCCATTGTTCTTGCACAGGATCAAATCTTGAGAAGCACCGACCTATCAGGGGATCCGTCACGTGGGTCCAGTCGATGCAGCCCTGCAACTCCAGCTGGTAGTGAGACTGAATGTAGAGAAGCAGGTGCTGGTAAAACCCGATGCCGGCAATCAGGTGAGTCCGGTAAGCACACTCCAGGGTGCTCCGACTATGAATGTGCTGCGGATGGGGAAACAGAGAGAGGGAAGTCAGTTAGGGAAATCTAGCTCTAGCTTCTTTCATTACAGGCAGTCCTCAGCTTACGACCACAACGGAGCCCAAAATGTATGTTGTTAAGCGAGACATTTAATAAGTGGATTTTGCCCCATGTTACAACCTTCCTTGCCACTGCAGTTAGTAACCCAGTTGTTAAGTGAATCTGGCTTTGTTGTCAAAAGGTCGCAAAAAGGGATCCTGGGACAACAGCAATATGATCCAGTTGCCAAGCACCTGAATTTTGATCCCATGACCATTGAGATGCTGCCAAGGTCGTAACTGGAAAACAGCCACATTTTTCAATGCTCTTGTAATGCTTTGAACAGTCAAAAAAAAAGAGGGCTGTGAAAGTATTTACAGACCCCTCACTTCCCAGACATAAACTGCTTCAACTCAAAACGACGCTATAGAGCCCTGCACACCAGAACAACTAGACACAAGGGAGCTTTTCCCCCCCAAAAGCCATCACTCTGCTAAACCAATATTTCCCTCAACACTGTCAAATTAACTAGTAAGACTGTATTACTATTACTATTAAACTTCTCATCACTCCTTATCGCCCATCCCCTCCCACTTGTGACTGTATGACCGTAACTTTGTCGCTTGTATCCTTACGATTTATACTGACTGTTTCCTAGTATGATTTGATTGCTAATTGTACCCTATGACTATCATTAAGTGCTGTACCTGATTATTCTTTTTTTAAAGTTTTCTTTATTAAACAATTAAACAAACACAGACGGACAATTCTTACAATAAAAAAGTTGAACGTGGTACAGTCTCCCTAACATCAATTATTGTCATTACTTCACTAAATCCAATAGTAATGTTACATAATTCTCCTCTATACACTTTAAATAGAATATATACATATAATCATTCCTTATTCTCATTGATCTTCCTCGTCTCTAGTCAACCATAAAACTGACTGTTTCCTAGTATGATTTGACTGCTTATTGTACCCTATGACTATTATCAAGTGTTGTACCTGATGATTCTTGATTCTTGACGAATGTCTCTTTTCTTTTTATGTACCCTGAGAGCATATGCACCGAGATAAATTCTTTGTGTCTCCAATCGCACTTGGCCAATAAAGAATTCAATGCTATTCCATGCTATGCTATGCTATGCTATGCTATGCTATTCTGCATTCTATTCTCCTATTCTATTCTGTTCTGTTCCTATTCTAACAGTCACTGAGTGATTTGGTTATCATCCAAATGAAATGCACACCAAAACAAAAAGACCAACGGTGCCTCCAACACAGAAGGCAAAAGGTTAGACAGCAACCTGCGGCTCTTTGGGCCCTCTGCTGTGGCTCCCTGTTGGGTGATCCTACCACTGGCTGGCCCCACCCCTCGCACTCCCCTCTTTCAAAACCTGGGTAGGTGTGGTGGGGGGAGAGGTATGTGGCTGGGTGAGAGTGGTGTTGAGGTGGCCACGCCCACCCAGGTTTTGTGGCTCCTGGGGTCTTCTTTTCTGTGGGAAACAGGTCCAAATGGCTCTTTGAGTGTTTAAGGTTGATTAGGAGGAGAATAAGTTTTCTTTAAACCAGGGGTGCCCAACCTCTAGGCCACGGCCCACTCACTAGAGGGGCTGAGAGGGGTTTACAACTGGGCCACGGAAACAGCGGACAAGCGCGTGGGGGCGCACCCCACACATGCAATCAGTGAATGAGCGTGCGCACATGGGTTCCATTTGTGTGCTCGCCATTCACGCAAATGGAGCTACTCACACTTGCCGGCCGCTCATGTGGAACCTTCCGCTCTCCCCTCCCCCGGTCTGCAAAACAGGAAAGGTTGGGGAACTCTGCTCTAACCCAAATAAATGGTATTCAAAGAAACAGCCCTGCAAACGCTGTGACCACCACTGCTGAGCACAGCAAATCACTAAGGCTGACTGTTGGGGATGAAGTATTGCTGTGGTCACAAGCAAAGTGTGCTGTTCACATAAACATTGTCAGAATGGGTATCGCGTACCTTTTTATTTGTTTTAATCAGCTGGATGACTTCATAGTAAACTTTCCGCCACAGCAGTTCCTCTGCCTTCCTCCCATAGTCCACAGGGTGCAGGAACATCAGCTTTACACACAGTTCACGGAGCCTAGGGCAGGAAGGAAGAGCAGAGAGAGAGAAGCTGCTCACAATTTGTCTCAAAAGTACTTTAAAAAATAATAATAATTGTATCATATCTATGTGCCTAAGATCTGAGGGAAGTAACCAAAAGGACCTCACTTCCTCAGATCTTGCTATGACAAATAAGCTGCCAGTGGGATGATTTCAAGATCCCTTGGCTCATAAGCAAGCTCCTTGTATAGCAATAGCACTTAAGGTTTATATACCCTCTCTAAATGATTTGCAGAGTCAGCCTCTTGCCCCCAACAATCTGGGTCCTCATTTTACCCACCTCGGAAAGATGGAAGGCCGAGTCAACCTCGAGCCGGTCAGGATCAAATTGTTGGCAGTGTGCAGAGTTAGCCTGCAATACTGCATTCTAACCACTGCACCATCATGCCCCTTCGCTCCTTCCTTCCTAGCAATAGCACTTAAGACTTATATACTTCGTTACAACCCTTTCTAAGTAGTTTACAGAGTCAGCCTGTTGCCCCCAACGATCTGGGCCCTCATTTTACCGACCTTGGAAGGATGGAAGGCTGAGTCAACCTGGAGTCAGTCAGGATCGAACTGATGGCGGTGGGCAGTGTTAGCCTGCAATGCTGCATTTTAAGCACTGTGCCACAATGTCTATGCAGCGTTGCTGCAATTTTCGAAGACTAAGAATTGCATTTTTCTGAAAGCCAAGAGGTATCTTCCCCACCCATCAAAGCCACTCTATTTGCAAAGCAGGAGCTAGAACTGAGATTACGAGGCTGCTTATCTAGGAAGCTACTTCCAAACAATATTCTGTTCAGTGGAATTACATTGAGGCTGAAACTCCGGAATGTAAGCCCTAGACAGAATCCTTTGCTATGAATGAATGAATGAACAGCAAGCTAGTTTTGCTGCAGAGGAATACGTTTTTATCATGTTCTGTATTTCAATGGAACTAAATTTTCCCAAATACTTTACCCAGACTTGTTCCATTTGAGTAACACTGCTGCATCTTTGTCCTTTTTTCAAAGCCATTCACGTGTGGTTGAAATGTAGAACACGGAATAAAGAAATCCCAACTTTCTTACTTGTTTCTCAGGCTGATGTTCTCTGGCTTAAATACTTCTTGATAAGCTGCCTTGTTTCCAAGAATGAGATCCAATCGATGCACTGCTTCAACCACAGCTCTACGAAAAGCACAGGAGGCATTCAAGTTAGGAAGAAGGGTTGTTCGGAAATTCTTCAGCTGGGCTCAGACATAACGTGAAGCTGTTATATACCACCCAGAGACCCTCTGCATCCCACCCAGAGCCTTTCTGCCGGTTCTGCCATGTTCGGCTTGGTGCCTTGCCGGCATTCTGCCATCGAAAGCTAGAGGTGAGGGGGACAAGCGGGCAATAAACATGTATGGGGATGTAATTGGAAATAGGGAAGAGGGGATGAAAGCTTGACGAAGACGACAGAGGCACAGAACCAGTTTGTGCCAAGTCTTCAAGGCCACATACCCTGAGAATGGAATGTGGGTTGCCCCTAACATCTCAGTGATTCTCAAAACACCTATGCGACTCACCATTGGCTAAAGACAAACTGGTCATGAGGAGGGAAGGCCGGGATGAGAGGAAAATATGTAACCTTTCATAGCTCTAGCCTGATTTTATTGCAACCAGCAACCTTTAGTAAAAGAACCTATCACTTCACCCAAAATGGGAGTCGAGGGTTTTTCTTTCCTAAGGGTCCTGACTTGGGGCAGGTCTAACACTCTGATTAAGATGGACAGATAAGAAAGTATGAAATATAGATAAAATAAAATATGGTTTGACTATCTATTAGCATGTTACATGAACCCATAGCAATTTGCATATAATAATTTATGGCTTAGTGCAGTGGTCACCAACCAGTGGGCCAGGGACCACAGGTGGTCCGCGAGACAATTTTGGTGGTCTGCAGAGAAATGTCACCCCCAAAGCAATCAATCCAGGCTGCGCAGGAACACAAGGCTGCGCCGCCCACAGGGCCCACGGGAACCAAGGCTTGCATCACTTGCATTCAGAACAACATGAGGTAGCGAGGGGAGGGGTGGAAGGGTGGAGGGGAAGAACTTGCCCCACGCACCCCATGCGCCTGGCCTTGCCACCGGGCTGCTTCTTTCCACTTCTTTCTTCTTCTGCTTTTGGCTGCACACAAGGAAAGCAGCCAAAGTCTTTCTTTCTCTCCCCCAAACTCTGCCAGAAATGAGTCTTTGAGACCCTGCAAGGCCTCCTGCTCCAAGAGGCTGCGCTAGCAAAGACTTGTTTCTGGCAGAGTTTGGGGGAGGGAAAGAAAGACTTCGGATGCTTTCCTTGCATGAAGCCAAGTCTCTCCCTCTACCCCCCCCCCACCGCCCGAGAACGGAGCTGGAGACGGAATCCTGCGAGCCCAAATAAAGAACCATCGATCAGTAGGAAAACGGGGTGGGGAATTTTCCTGTAGACTTTTGGGGGGATTTTCCCATGGTCTCTGGTCCATGGGATTTAAAATGATGAGTTTGGTGGTCCCTGAGGTCCAAAAGGTTGGCGACCCCTGGCTTAGTGTGCCATTGTGGGTTTTACTATCAGAATCTAAGACAGCCACCTTTCTGGAATGCATAGCTAGAGGGCTGTAAAATTAGACTTCTCATCCCCCAATGGCTTCAATTGACAAGAAAAAGCCACAATCCAATCTGACTATGGAGATTTTCGATCATCCAGATCATGGTTGTCCCAAACATGCTATTCCAACAGGTAACTGTACTTTCTTGGGATTTTTTTTCCTTGAAAATGTTTCATTCTCAATCAAGATGTTTTTTCAGTTTTGCCTGAAAGGCAGTCAGTACTGAAGAAGCTTCTTGGATCAGAAACAAAACATTTTCAAGAAAAAAAACCCTAAGGCAGTCCAGTTGCCTTTTGAAAAAACACCTTTGGTGACCCAAACCAAGTAACATCATGTGCTAGAAGAGAATGAGGACTGCAGAGAGGAGGAGGAGTGATGGAGAAGGAAAGAGGACTGGAGGGTCCTTGGTGGTCTCTGGGCTTGGTTGTCTCCTTGCAGACATTTCATGACCCAAACTAGAGAACATCATCAGCGCTAGAAGAGAGTGGGGTTTGCAGAGGAGGGGGAGAAAGGAGGAGGCACAATCTAAGCTCTTTGCCTTCCCAAAAGGAACATTGCTGAATTGTACTAACACCCCACCCCCAGCTGCCGCTTAAAAGTAGCTCTTCTCTAGGATATGAAGGGACCTTTGCAGACAGCAAGCCTATTAAAAGACCTCACAGTGGCACCAGCTGCCAAGTTCAATGGCCACAATCCAAGCATTCCAAAACCAGGAAATGTGACAGATCAAGCCATCCAGACTGTACCAGCCAGTATGCTCAAACGCCACAGCATAAAGAGTGACGTTTGCAAAGTCATCATCACAAGGCAAGTGTCAAAACCTTGACTTGACATTCATGTCATGGTGTGTTGCTTTTGGGGGGCGGGGGGGGGGGGCAGATACTTATAGCTTTAAGACCTCTGGAAAATAGGAGCACAATATCCTCTAACCCAAAGCTGAGAATGCTATTGGAGGGCACAGAAGAACAGGAATTAACTTGAAGAAGTTGAGGGAACTGTGTAAAGTCCTTGGGAACTACCTATTATCAATGGTGTCTGGGGAATCCCCACAGAATCGAGGAGGGAAGATGCTCAGTTGCCTGATTGATACCTCTGAGCACATGCCACATTTTTCTTGCTGGCTGTAGCAGCAAGGCATGGCCAACTGGCAAATCGTGGAGTAGGTTTAAAGGAGGATCACTGCCCTGTGGGCTGCTTGCCCCCTAATCCGGCGTAACATGCGCTCCAGACTCCCGCAATCTAGGGAACATCATTAGTGTTAGAAGAGAGTGGAGCTTGCAGTGGGGAGGAGAAAGACAGTGAGGTCCTGGGTGCTCTCTGAGCTGGCTTGCTTTCTTGCAGACATTTCATTATCCAACTAGGTAACATCTTCAGTGCCAGAAGAGAGTGAAGTCTGCAGGGGGGAGGGGGAGGAAGACTTTGGAGTCCTGGGTGTTCTCTGAGCTTCATTGTTTTCTTGCAGATGTTTGATTACGAACTAAGTCATGAAATCAGTGTACAGATGATGCTGATCCTGGGTAATGAAACATCTGCAAGAAAAGAACCAAGCTCAGAGAGCACTGAGGACCCCACAATCCTCCTCCTCTCCGCATCCCCCCTTCCCTTCTAGCACTGAGGATGTTACCTAGTTGGGTGATGAAACATCTGCAAGAACCAAGCTCAGAGAGCAACGAAGACCCCAGAATCCTTCTCCTCCTCCTCCTCTTTGTCTTCCTCAGCTTCTCCACAGCCTCCTTCCCTTTTACCACTGATGATGTTACCTAGTTGGGTGATGAAACCTCTGCAAGAAAACCACTAAGCTTGGAGAACCTCAAGGACCCCCCTCCAAAGGCTGTCCGTTTACCCTTTCACCCCCTTCACAGAGGCTGTGACAAAAATTAGCTGCTGATTTAGGGGACAGGCAAGGAGTTAAAAGGCGTGGGCGCTAGCTGGAGACAACAGGGAGAGGGTTTCAAATGGGTACGTGTTTCGCTGGTGGGACAGTCCCTGCAGCCCTCCACAGTGGCATTTCGGAGCAGGACCTCCAATGCCAAAAAGTGCTGCCCCCATGTTGGCCGGGTAGGTAGCAGTCCTCAACTTAATGACCAAAACCAACTCTCCCCTCCCCCAAATAGATGTTGCTAAGTGAGTTTTTGCCTCATCCTACAGCCTTTCTGGCTCACGGGTCATTAAGTGAATCTGGCTTCCCATTGACTTTGCCAAGGTCTCAAAAGGGGATTCCTTCACACACACACACCCTCGGGACTCTGCAACCGTCAAAAGTACGAGTATCCATATTTCAATCACACTATCCACTGTAACGGTCGATAAAAGGGGGAGGGGGAAGCGGCTGTTTTTCACCGCCCTTTTGAGTTTCGGTCACTAAACGGGCCGTCGTAAGTTGAGGGCTACCTACAGTCGCCCCTCCCTCCGCTCCCCCTTCCTTCCCCGCGGGCTAACACTAACCTAATCATCATAAGCCTACCCATCCTCCTCTGCTGGCCAGCAGGGACCCACGTGCCCTCGTTCCACCTCCGCCTGCGGGGGATAATGGGTGCTGCAGTCCCGCATGGTTACATGCGGACCGAGAAGGGGCGATGAGGCGTTTATTTCATCCCCACCCCCCCCCCGACACACGGACACACACAGCCGCGAGGTATGCCACGCGCGGGGCTTCCTGGCCCGCGGAATGATGGGACCTGTAGTCCCGCGGGGCCGTCCGAGGACGATGGGCTCACCGGTAAAGCCTCTTGGTATGGAGAGC